CTCTTAACTCCAGTGTCTTTGCCAGTCCTTTGAGTGAGAGGTTGTTGTTGGTGCAGTGAGCTGGTTTCATCCCTTAACGTAGTATCAACAATGCTTAGGCGAAAACCTTTGCCATCATCAATTCAGATTTTATCAAAATAGCCACCAGAAATTTGGCGGGACTGAATAACATGATTCACAAGACTTGATTAATCATTGCAGTGAGCAACAACATGAACTGTACAAGAATCTGTTTTTTCGTGTGTGATTTTTAAGTCGCTGCAGGTGAAGAAATTGCTCAATTGTTGACCAAGTCTTAGAAAATTCATGTAAAAATTTCGCTCTACCATCTTGCTGCTTGATGTTTTGTTTACAGTTCTAACAAGTTTCTTTAATCCGTTGTTTGACAGGCCCGTATTTAATTGCACATTTCAGGCTTGGTCGGGAAGCGGGAGCGATTGCTCTTGATTGCTGACCACGTAAATAATATTTAGTTGCGAAAAGCTGGCCAGATTTTTTAGCCGTTTTGAGAACATTTTAAAAAGCAAAAAAAAAAAGCGACCAAGATTAATTGGACCGATGAGAGACAATTACAAAAAAAAAAAAAAAAATCGCTCTTTTACAATTTTTTTTATAAAATTAAGCGATGTTTTTTATATAAATTAACAATTTACGATTGTTTAAAAGGGAAACAAAAATTCTTTATTTAACTAAGTTTGCAAGTTTTAGTTTTACTTAAGCTAAATTATTTTATAAATAAAAAAATTAATTTTTTTAATACCTATTTTATGTTTTGCGTAGTTTGAAAAGTTTAACATATTTGAAGCGATTCTTCTTAGTAAGATAAACAAAAATAAAATTACTTTAAAATACTTAAATATACTTAACGAACAGGAAGCGAAACTGCTTCACAATATCGCTGATGATGTTTAGTGAGTGGGCTTTTTAATTTTAATTAGTATTTAAAGCAGAAAAAAGTGTAACGAGTTTTAAGAATGGCAACTTAAGCGAAAATAATTAGAGTTAGTAAACCAATTTCTAGAAACTTTTCCTTATATTTAATTATTTGTTATATATATTTGTGTTCTGCCGTGACCTCAGGCGCGATGCTTGTTCTTCCGCGAGTTACTTTGTATGCGTTGTTTGTGTTTAGTAACCAGAAACTTCTTATATGTTTGTTACATAATTAGTTTTATTAACTTTAACGATTATAACTTCATTGAAAACCAACTATTTTTGTAAGTCTTTGTTTAAATCATGAAAATTGCTTTAAAAAAAACATTACGATAAAAAACAAATACACAAAATTACATTTACATAAAGAATACAATCTCTTTTAAAATAAAAAATAAGAATATACTAATAAAATCTATGATTTATAATAAACTTTTAAAATTTTAACAATTTAATTAATATATATATAAAACATTTATTTTCGTAAACAAATAATATATTCTTAAAACAATGCCAGAAATCTCAAAACGTAAGAAATTGTGAATAATAGTATTTCTAAAACATTTTCTAGAAATTTATTTCGCTTAATCAGCGTATTTTTTGAACCAATAGAATTAATTTTTCGTTAATTTGGCGGGTTTTTAGCATTCTTTTTATTCTTTCGCACAAAGATGTTTTGAGAACATTCAAGTTTTTTATGTTTCCATGTATGTCCGTAAAACAAAAATTTTTTGTTTCGTACATAAACCTAAATATTTTCAAAACGACTAAAAAACCTGGCCAGTTTTACGCAACTATATATAATTTCCGTGGTCAGTATTCGAGAGCGATCGCTCCCGCTTCCCGACCAAGCCTGACATTTACAAAGGCTACAGTGGTTAATTTCGGAGCACTTGATGGTGTCTGCGCACTACTTTGACCTAAAACCAAAACATACATATTTTATAGTTACAATAAACTTTGTTTAGTAAGTTTGGGTAAAACTCTCAAATTATTCACTTTTAAAGAAATTAGAAACTTGTCAAAAATATACTTCTTGAAATCTATCTAGTGTTATTTCTTAATAGTCAAAACTTTATTTCAATAATATATGTTAAAATTATTTAAGTATAAATATTTACTAAGGGAAACTGTAAGTGGAGGCCCGCCGGATGCTTTAGCCAGTAGAATAGTTCTTTCAGGAGAAAATTCTTTACTGGAAATAACTGGAAATGCAATTTGTTTGGATGATTTGGCATCTTTTGCTGCTAAAGATTGAATGTTTTCCCTTAACATTATTTGAGAGCATTGGTGGGGCAAACCTTTTCCTAAAGGACTGAGGCATTTGCTGCAATGCACTTTTGTTTTTTTCTCAATAGTGGTTTGCTCTATAAGATGTTTTTCTTGCAGCTTTGAACAACCAATTCGGCATATTAGGCAACAACATATCGTGCCTCTTGTTGGCACTTGACTGACACAATTGACTTAAAATCAAACAAAGGAGGGAGTGCAACTTCTTTCCCCTTTTGTTTCCTGCGCAAAGTAATTCTACACAATTCGCAGAATCCTTTTGGTAACTGAGTACCACTAATATTGATCTTGGTCTTGTACAGTTAAAATATTCGTTCTGCTTAAAAAGTAGTAAGCTGTCTTAAATATTTTTTCAGACAGAGCAAGCACACAAACTGTCGATTTTCATCACGATTCTTTGCTTGATTTGGCCTTGTGGCAATTCACTAAATTTGACTTCACTAAATCAAACTCTGCCTTTTACAAAACTTGACCTAACTTTATATTTGATAACAATCCACTTAACATAGTAACACATATTATTAATTAAAAACTATTAAAATAAAGGAAATATTTACTTGATTTAATTGAGGTAATATTAAATTACAAGAAAGTAATTCTTGAATAGTTCTTTCCTTAACAGGAAACAATTGTTTAAACTATTTACTTGTAAGGAAATTACATTATTGATAATTCTCACACTTATTAAACTAATGATACTTGTCACACGGGTTGTTTTATTTCAAAACAACCCTTCAACCTAATTAGTTATTCAGTTAGAGTAATTTTCCTCCAACTAGCCCTCCAAACTTTGTATTGGTCAGATATCTTAGTTAACTTATCTAAATTTTTTAAGTCAACTATCTTTGTCAATATAAAAAAATATTTGGTTTTTTCATAGTTGTTCTGTTTTCAGATAAATAAATACTTTTATTTTCTATGTAGGTATTGCTAGAAATCCTTCTTACCCATTTTTTTAGAACTTTTTTGCATTCTGGAAGTAGTTTATACCTTAGGAAATGTTGGTATACTCACGCTATACATACATGGCTGTCAAAGGAGCCATGGCCTGCCCACTTTTTTTTTGCAAGGACTTTTTGTTTTAGAAATATAGGCAATTATTTTAGAAATTATGGATTTTATTTTAGAAATTGAGAGGTTGACCCCCTCCACTTTGAAGGCCGTGTCAACGCCATTGGCTTAAGCCAATTTAAATCATGCTTTAAGTAACAAATCACTGTGCATGTACCAATAAAATAATTAAAACAAAAATTGTCCGTATTACATAGTAGAACACTCATGTAACCGTTATTTTAAAAATAGTGACCGAATTTCAAAGTAATTAGTAACACTTTGAGGTGTAAGTAGCAAAAAACTGATAAAAAACTTCAACTAAAACTGCAATAAATCCTACACCAGTCATCAAATCAGGCTGAAATTTACTCCAGAGTTTGGTGTGACTATTGGCTCATTTGCACCAATTTTTATCAAATTATATTGAATGGTTCAAATTCTACAAGTGTTTTTATTGGCGCACTATGAAGTCAAAATTTGACTTAATTTGAACATTCAAATTTAATTATTTTCCGCGGACAAAATTAAATGATTTCAAAATTTGAATCACAGCGTACCTTGATGTGTACACTAACTTTTCGTATAAGTGGGGTTTTTGGGACAGCTAGGTAGGCATTATAAGGTTTGGTGCTAACCGTGTATAGAGTTGAGTAATTGATTAACCTTTACTGTTTTAACTTTTTGATGACAAAATTAAAAATTTTTTTTTTTATGAACATGTACTTCCCAGAAAACTATTTGAATATCCGGAAAAAATAAAATTTTAAAGAAATATTCTGAATTCCAGAAAAATGTAGAAAAAGATAATCTACAACTTAAAAAAAAAATCATTTTTTTGTAAAAAAAATAAATTAAAGAATTTAACTATCATTTAACCTCTCTAAATTATTTTATCTCTAAATTATCTAAAAATCCCTTTTTAAATTAGTTTTACTTTTAAATTCTGTTTTGAGGATTGTATTATGTAATTTCAAGGTCTGTTTTAAAGTTTATTGGAAGTTTTGACCTGTTTTCCTTCTATACTACATTTTTGGTGTTTAATACATCTTAATTGGCATTTAATACCTCAATATAACTTAATTATTTGTATTTGGAGGAAGTTTTGTTATTTATAGCAAAATATATTGTTTAAATTTGGATCTAATGTGAATACAATAAAAATAAAGTTATATGAGGTGAGAGTATTAAACACCAAGTAAATAATAGGGGTGACAGTGATAATGTGATAACAAATACTTTAGGGCCATATTTTATTAGATTAGTTGATGTCAGCATTTGAAATTTTTTTTTGTATTTTATCATGATCTTTTAAATGTTATCTACTGAATGGTTTACTTTTATTATAACAATTTTCTTTGTACGGATTTTTATTATACCTGATGATGCTGATCACAATAGATCAGCAAAATATTGATTAATATATATTAAATAAAATATACATATTTTCAAAAAAGTTTATATGCAGCAGTATTTATTTAATTTTACATATATTTTATTGTACAGCAAAAAAATTATTTAAAAAAACTTGATAAAAACAAATTTGTTAAAAATATATTTGATAGTAAATTTGTTAATAAACTACTTACAAAAAATAAAATTAAAAAAAAAAACCATAGTATATTTTATTAACTGTTCATTTTAAAAAATATATGATAAAAATTAATTATAAAGTTAAAATAACAAAACTAAAAATAAAAACAAAAGTTTTAACAAACAATAAATACCGGACAAACTGCAAGCTAAGCATCTATCAATTACATGTTTGTACTGTTGGTGGTCGAATGTTTGAATGTTGTGTTTTGCAGAGAACTCATAAAAATGCTCAGGCCATGAACCCTCATATTTGTAACTCTCTACCTATAAAGAGTAGGTTTGATCCATAATTATGTAAATTTATTATAATTATGTAAATTATTCATCAGAGAGTAAGTATAAGAAGCAAAACAATTGTTTTACATACGATTTTTTTTTAAAACTTTTAATAAAGTTAAAAAATAAAAGTCACATGTGTAATTATAACAAGTATTCCAACCTAACATAAGTTGTAACTGTAAACGTAAATGAAATCTTTTTTTTTATAATTTTATAACAATTAAATATAAAAGTTTCATTCCTGTCTCTCTGCACTGTGGCCTTGTTTAACAAGATTCATGTTTCAGAGTTTGGGGGGTTGCGCATTTCAAATAAAATTAAAAATAATTAAGAAAAAAAGTAGTCATTTTGACTGTAGTGGTCCTTTGGAGCTTTAGAGAAGTGAACTTATTAAAAAAAAAAAAGGGTGGCAAACCCAACTTTTTTCTTTTAGATTTTTTTTAAACAACTTTAAATTCCAAACCAATGCTGACATAAAGATTTATATATTTCATTTATCCACATTAAAATTATTCTGAAACAAACTGAAAATATTTTGAAACATACTGAAAATATTCTGAAACATACTGAAAATATTCTAAAATATACTACAAATCTTCTGAAACAAACTGAAAATATTTCTCCAATAGCAGTAAATACTGCTGTGGGAGTTCTGTCTATTGGTACTTTATGCTGGTTGACGGTAGCAGACTGTCAACCAGCATAAAGTAAAAATAGACAGAACATGTTTTATTAACAAAAGAATTGTACTCTGTAAAAGATTAGTAAAATTGATAAAAACAGACATTAAAATATTAGTAAAATTGATAAAGACAGACTTTAAAAGATTAGTAAAACTAATAAAGACAGACTTTAAAAGATTAGTAAAACTGATAAAGACAGACTTTAAGGCATATACTAATAACTCTGCAAAAAATTAAAATAACTTAAAAAGAACTTTTTTCTTATTTATTTAATAAAAGAAGGAGTTTGAATCATTGTAAAACACTTTCAATAGCTGACCTCATGTTTTTAAAAAAACATATCTAAATAATATACTTTTCTAGTGTTTTATTTAAATATAAGTTTTTTAAAAAACATTAATACCATACTTTTTTAAACTATATCGCTATATGATCACTTTGCTAGGGTCTGAAGGTGGGTCAGAGGGGGCCTAATTATTAGTTAAAACAAGTCCTTGATCATTTTACTCAAAAATCATTTTACTCAAAAAGCTATCAACAAGACAGGACTTACCCTGCTTATCACGTACCATCTATGTCACCTTAGACCTTATGTTGTATCTCATGAAACCTTTTTTTTGAATTTGAAAGTAGTCTACTTGCACATTCTACAACTGTAAAAATTTAAATCATTGGTTGGTAGCTTTTTATTAAAACTTGCTTAGAAGTTTTATAAATAACGATGTTTCGGTACTTCAATAATACTTTTGTCAGCCATTATAGTTGTTTATTTTCTGTAAATGCAATGGCAATAACAATATTTAGTGGTTTCTGATTGGCTAATAGTTGTTGTCTATAAGACATGGCTTTAAAAGCCTAAATATAATAACAGTAGCTATAACGATAAAATAACAGTATTTTTATCTTATAACTTCTTACTTTTTATCTTTATTTTTGGTTCTCTTAGAAAATGTTAGAACTAGTTCTAAATCAAGGAAAAAATACTTTGTCAAAAATCACAACGATTTTTTAAAATAATTTGTATATTATGATTGAAAAAAGAAAACATAAACTTAAATCGTTATATTATTAACTTATAACGATTAACATTAACTTATATTGTTATAATATTGCATTTAGACTAAACTCACAATAAATTTAAAGGTGTGTTTAGTCCAAATGCAATAAAGCAAGTCCAAAGCAAATGAAAATTTTGAAATCCTTATTAAGAAGTATTTTTGGGAAAACCACTATGTTGAAAACCATCTTTTTTTTATGTGCAGAAAAAATTTATTGAGTTTAGAGAAAGCAGATGAACTTTTTATCGACCAATGAGTCAAAAAAATCACTAATTAAGTTTTTACTATTATTGTTATTCTGAAAACAAAAACATTTTGTTTTTGGCTTAATGCTGAGCAACGTTGATTCAGTCTAAACAATGAAAATTTTGACTTATAATAATTTTGAGGTATATAAGGTAAGAAAAAGACGGTAAATTTATATATAATCTCTCTTTCTTCATATATATATATATATATATATATATATATATATATATATATATATATATATATATATATATATATATATATATATATATATATATATATATATATATATATATATATATATATATATATATATATATATATATATATATATATATATATATATATATATATATATATATATATATATATATATATATATATATATATATATATATATATATATATATATATATATATCAGCGTTGGTAAAAACCCAACTTAACTGGTTTTTTTGGTGGGTTATTGGGTTTTAGGGTTTTTAATAAAGTTTGGTAGAAATCTTTTGTAACAAAGTTACTAGATTAAAGTTACTGATTAATTTATAATTATTTAAAAACTATTTTTTTATAGGTATATTGTCTTCTACAATAGCCTAATTATTAATAAGATTGCATTTATTTTCTAGTAAAAAGCTATTTTGAAAAAAAGCTATCATTTTAGTTAAATTTAAAATATAGGTAGACAATACTTCTTCAACATGTCAAAGTATCAATCAGGGGGAAGAAAGTAGGCTAGTGGGTGGAATAAAGTGACCATAATAAGTGATTAATTAAATAGAGTTATATGTAATTATAGCAAAGAGAGCATAATTAAGATAATAGAACTAAGATCCATTTGAATAAATGCAGAAGAAAGAAAAAAGGAAGCACTAATGATTCCGCTGAAGTATTTAGTGATATATCAGTTTTAGATTCAAGGCCATCTACATCTGCAGCACCAAATAAGTCCGATAATTAAATAATTAAAACACCCAGTCAGATAATAATGAGCTTTTTAAGCTTTATTAGTGATTTTTCTTATTCGCCAACTGTGCAGTCAACTACAATGACGTTGCAACAGCAAACAAATTTCTAAATTTATTACTCAGTTCATCCGTCTGATAGTAATGCAAATCCAGTTCATTCAGAAGAATGAACTGGATTTGCAAGTTGGAAGGTTTTTCTTTTCAACAAATATACCATTCAACGTAGTAGAAAATTTGGATTTTACCAAGTTGCTTAAAAAAATCAAGATCTGGATGCGAGACTCCAAATAGAAAACAGATATCTTCAGAACTCTTAGTTAAAGTAAATAAAGAAATAATCAATATAATGAAAAATGATCTTGATGGTGATTGTGCTGTTGCTGTAATTCAAGATGATTGGAGTACATTCAGTAATGATTTTATAATTGCTAATAGTAACCAAGACAATACAACTTTGTCTAAGTACAAAGATGGTTTTTTTAGAGGTTTAAAAAAGCAAGCATTCCATGTCATTTTCTGGCCAATATAACAGATCCAAAATATATAGGTAACTTTGAAACTTTAAAAAAATTAAAAACTAAATCTTAAAACTAAAATAAAATCTGATCAATTTAAAATAAATAAATAATAAATTATACTAAATTTAAAATAAATACAGATGTAAAATTTTCTTTAAAGTTTATTACTCTTATAACTTTACTTAAAAAGAACATTGAATAGTAGCTGAAGAATGATTGAATGTAGTCTATCCTAAATTTATTCCTGGCTACTAGGCATTTAAACTAAAAAAATTGTTTCCCAACATATTTATTTAATGATAATGTAAAAAGGACAAAATCAGGATCAAATTGGTGAAGAATTATAGAAATGAAAAAAAAGTTTACTAAATTTCCTACAAGTTTTGCAAGATTATTACGACAGTTGCACACTTGTCCAGCTAGTCCATTAAAAGATTTTTCTAATCCTTTTCTCATTACCTAAAGTTCATATAGTAGAGCAATAAATACCTAATGAACTTTCAAAAACAGAAGAGTTTATTGTTATAGAAGAAAAGTTTTTAATTTAAAAAAATCAATGGTTAACATATTAACTGTAATTATAAATATATAATTCTTAAATACTTTGAACGAAAGTTTAGGGTATTGGATTGAGCAATCATTGAAATCAATTTATTTTAAACAGTTTTGGTAAATATGTAAGGTAGGATTACACAACCCCAGTTTTAACAAAGCCTTGTGAAGCTGTCTGTGTGTATAACACAAGACACCTGTAACTAAAAAACTATATGTTTATATATATATATATATATATATATATATATATATATATATATATATATATATATATATATATATATATATATATATATATTATATAGACTAAGCCACTGTGTTCATGTAAAATTGCCTTAACCTTATACCCCCTAATAAATAAACAACATAGTAGATCAAACAACCAAACAAACTATATATCGCTATATGATCACTTTGCTAGGGTTCTAGGTGGGTCAGAGGGGGCCTAATTGTTAGTTAAAACAAGTCCTAGAGATCATTTTTCTCAAAAAGCTATCAACAAATGAGTTAAATTTTGTTAGTTTTGGATTGTGCTATTGGACTGATTTTGAAATCAAAAAAAAATTTCATGGGATAAGATATAAGGACTTAGGTTACCTTCAGGGTACCCGTGTTATACTTGATTTTCTCCCACTTCACATGCATTTTATTATTATGCACTTTTACTCCTATTTCAATTGTACTTGATAATTATGCACAGATACTCTCATTTCACTTGTACTTAATAATTATGCTTGAAAATACTCATGGCAACAGGGAGAGGGAAAGGGGAGTATTTATATTTCGACTTTCAATATAAAATTAACATATTACACTTAATTTGTATAACATCTTTTGTGCTTATTTTACAGAATATTTCAGTGTTTATTTTGCAGAATATTTCAGTGTTACAAACAAACTTTTTTATTTATTTCAATCATTTATTTCAATATAAAATTAACATTTTACACTTAAT